TTCCACTCGAAGTGGATTGGTCTCTCTAAGCGAGATCCCAATTCATCGGTCACCGACGTGACGTCTCCGTTCCCTCCTTCAGGGAATGAGGGTTACATACGTAACCGAGACGTTCCGTCTATACAGTGAAAAACTACTGGAACATTTAATTTAATTTTACAGTAAAATACTGATAAATGTACCGTTTTTGGAAGTGGAAAATAACCATAAACTGAGTCTGACATTCCCAGAAAGTCATGATGTGACTTTCTCTTCACTCCCTCCTTCAGGGAATGAGGGTTACATACGTAACCGAGACGTTCCGTCTATACAGTGAAAAACTACTGGAACATTTAATTTAATTTTACAGTAAAATACTGATAAATGTACCGTTTTTGGAAGTGGAAAATAACCATAAACTGAGTCTGACATTCCCAGAAAGTCATGATGTGACTTTCTCTTCACCACTTGTGTTTGTAAGGTGTTTGCCAGGTAAAAAAAAAAAAAAAAAAGATTTTAGGGATTTGGTGTATTAACATTATTTCAGTTAATGAATATACCTTTTTTTACCTTAAATGTTAACTGTTGCTGTCATATTTTTTATGGTCGTATTTTTTAATTTTTCAGTTTTAAAAGTCTTCAGAAATCATACAGTTGTTTTGTGTGAGGAACAGACTGGCCTCAACCTCAAACATTCAAGATTGCCGAGATTGACTACTTTTATGGTGCTTTTTTGGTCGGTCTTGGTTTTGACAGCCTCTAGTTACTGTTTGCTTTTAATGTATGAACAGGAACACAATAATGTCTTATTTTAGTCATATAAATTTTGAATGGCATGAGAGTGAGTAACAAAATAACTCCAGAACACATTCACTTTACTGCTCTGCTCTTCACAGAGTTCTGCTTATAAACATTTGCATTCCCGTTATCTCTCCTTTTCTCTCGTCTCCTTCTCTTTCTTTCACCCTCTTTTTCTGCTTTTCTGCCCTTGAAGGCCACTATCATCAAGCTGGCCCTGGGCGCTGACTGTAAATAACCTCAGATTTCACACAGTGTCAGAGCCACTCTGTGGGTCCACTGTTCTAAAGCAGCCTGCCAGACAAACCCAGCTGTACAAAGGAAGATTAAATGCAAAACAGCTACTTGTTGGTTATTAGTGTGGAAATCACTTATATATAAAAGACTATAGAGCTCTTCGGTTGGGCGTTTAGAATATGATGGACAGTAAACATCACATGAAATTAGGAAGAGAGATGACAGAAAGTGTTGCAAACTGGCTTAACTTGACATTTCAAAAAAACTTAGCTAATCAGAACATATTTGATGTTTAATTCCATGTTTTATGTAAGCAAAATATGTTCATGTAGAGCTATATAGAGTGGAATTTTGGACCAATGAGATTTTATGGCTGGCAAATCCCACACAGCTTCTTAAATATATAATCAATATCATAATTTATCATGGGTTTGATCACAGAACAGTCCACCATGCATTAATGTACTTTGACCTCCACTCACCTTTGACCTTTGGCACCTCATGACAGACAACCACAGTGCACCTCCGGATGTGACAGGCCTGTCGGAGCGCTCGGTGCATGCAGAGCGTCCACAGGTGGCATCAATGCGAGGGCTTCCACGCAGATACACACACACCAGCATCATGGAGACCGCCGATGGTGAGTTCCCTAAAGCTTCAGCCTGCTGTCGTGACGACAGCAGAGCATCTTCCTGTCACACACACCTCTTTCCTGTAAGAAAGAGGGAATATCATGTCATCTCTCCACAGAACCCAGAGGTTCAAATGGACTGATTTGTGTTTTTAGAAACTTTTTCACACTAAACACTGTGTTTTTAGCTCTGCTCCAAAACTTAGTAAGCCGCCTTGCATTCTACAGCCTACTTAGGAAGCACGCTGACTGCCACGGAACCTCATAAGGGATTGAGACTCATCTCACAATTGATACGAATACAGTCTAACAACTAATACACCTAAATCTGGAGGCTTTGGATCAGAGCTAATGAGATGGATTTACAGTTCATATCTATTGAAAAAAAAGCTAAATAAATAAAAAAGAGTGGGATCTTTTTTGGCTGTTTTTTGTATGCTCCTGCTTGTTCAAGCCAGATAGTATCATGCCATCAGCATGCTCTTTTTTGCTGGAATAGTTCACTAAAAAAGGACAATTCTGTCATCATGTACTCTTGTACCTGCATGTCACTGCAAAATAAAATCTCATTTTTTACACACATTCAAACCTAGTGTGTGTTGATAATACACTCGAGAACCAAAGAAATTTGTTAGCGGTTTCCTTTCCACCAACTTCTTTTTCTTCAAAAGTGTCATGAATTTTTCCTCAAGCAATTAGCAAAACTGACTAGCGGTTCTTGCATGTATTGTGAACACGCCAGGTTTGAATGTGTGGAAGCGCAATAGGATGAAAGGTAAGCTTTAGAGTAAAAATAACTTAACTTTGTCTTTTTTTCTAACATGAAGCTATCATTTGGTTTTATAAGGCTTAAAATATGCTGTGTGAGATGTATGAACTGTTTTTTTAGAGTCACCTGAGTCACAGTTTCACTGCAGGGTAAAATACCCTGAAAACCATGTTCTTTTATGTTCAACTGTGGGGGAAAAATCATGTACTTCTTTTTGAGTGACATTAGGCCATGTAGATGATGACTCATCAGTTTTTGGTGTACTGTCCCTTTAAGACATAGAGCTGAACATCACATCTGTACATCACATCAGGTTCAAGATTAACCTGCTTTCTTTGCTGTGGTGTATTCGTTCTTGGAAGGACAAATATTTGGTAATGGTTAAATGCAACAAAATAAAAAGCATCAAAACTGATCAGATTTTTTTTTTCCTTACAGAAATATTATGTCAGTCATGCTCAATTAGAGTCACCTCAGCTCAGTTGAAGCAGCATGCTGTCATGAACATGTGTGTTTATTCACATTTTCTCTTCTTTAGGCACTGACAGGGGAGATAGGGAGGCCACGGATGGTATTTATACACGTTTATTTCAATCTGCCCCTCCTCCTGGTGTCTCTGTGCCTCTGTGTCGCAGCTGTGACCTCTGTGTTAAACGCCGTCTGCTTAACTTGTCCACTACGTCATTTTTTGAAATTACGATCATAAGAAAAATATTTCCTCCTAATGTGTCTCTTTTTGTCTTTTTAATGTTGTTTAATTATTCTCTCAAGGTCTTTTCACAGCATTTGTAATAGGTTCTGCGTTATGGGAAGATACAACACTATTGTCTAGAAATATCCAGGACTGAGAATGTTTTTGGTGTGTTTGTGTTGATCCATCTTATGTGAAAAAGAAAGTACACTTTTGCATACTTTTAAAGAGTACTTATTACGGAAATTCAAAGAACATACTTCAGTGTGAAATGAATGTAATGTTTTCGCACACTTAATTGCATGTTAATTCCAATAAAATTTTAAATATTATAGTTTAAATTTATATTAAATGCACAGTATAACTTAAGCACATGTGACAAGCATTTATTGTACACTAAAAATACTTTGTAATTTCTATTGAAACTTGTAGTCATGTATTTAAATATATTCATAAATGCACATTATGATGAAGTTACAATTTAGTACTTTTAAAATATATTAAGTTTGAATGTGATATTTAATACTGAACACACTACAGTTAAAATGATACTCAAGTACTTTACATGTGCTTTAGTATGCAAGTCACCACATCAAAATAAGTGTACTTTATAGCATGACAAAAGATTATTTAAATTTACTTTAAAACTTGTAATTTGACATGATTACAAAGTGCATTTTTTAAAAGTGTACTTAAGTGTGTTAAGAAACATACTCACATTACACTTAAGTACATTTAAGTTACTTTTTTCATTATCTTATATTATTTGCAAGTACAGTATTTTAAAAAATATAATTTGGACTAAAAGTGAACATTCTCTACAATTAAGTGCACTTCTTTTTCACACGGGAGAGCTTGTGTTTCAGTAAATGTGTGATGAGATAATTAGACAAATGGTTTTTGCTTTTGCCATTTAGGTATGGTCTGTGATTTTTGCCAGTGTTTCAGATCAAATGTCACTTTTTATATGATTTGTACTCTACAAAATAGAGTTTTAGTAAAATATTCAGTTAAATGTAATTTCTCATGGCCATGAAATAGCATTGTAATACCATGGTACTATGATATATACTGTATATCATTGCAGGCCTACAGATATTTTTTACACACATTCAAACCTAGTGTGTGTTGATAATACACTCGAGAACCAAAGAAATTTGTTAGCGGTTTCCTTTCCACCAACTTCTTTTTCTTCAATAGTGTCATGAATTTTTCCTCAAGCAATTAGCAAAACTGACTAGCGGTTCTTGCATGTATTGTGAACACGCCAGGTTTGAATGTGTGGAAGCGCAATAGGATGAAAGGTAAGCTTTAGAGTAAAAATAACTTAACTTTGTCTTTTTTTCTAACATGAAGCTATCATTTGGTTTTATAAGGCTTAAAATATGCTGTGTGAGATGTATGAACTGTTTTTTTAGAGTCACCTGAGTCACACTTTCACTGCAGGGTAAAATACCCTGAAAACCATGTTCTTTTATGTTCAACTGTGGGGGAAAAATCATGTACTTCTTTTTGAGTGACATTAGGCCATGTAGATGATGACTCATCAGTTTTTGGTGTACTGTCCCTTTAAGACATAGAGCTGAACATCACATCTGTACATCACATCAGGTTCAAGATTAACCTGCTTTCTTTGCTGTGGTGTATTCGTTCTTGGAAGGACAAATATTTGGTAATGGTTAAATGCAACAAAATAAAAAGCATCAAAACTGATCAGATTTTTTTTTTCCTTACAGAAATATTATGTCAGTCATGCTCAATTAGAGTCACCTCAGCTCAGTTGAAGCAGCATGCTGTCATGAACATGTGTGTTTATTCACATTTTCTCTTCTTTAGGCACTGACAGGGGAGATAGGGAGGCCACGGATGGTATTTATACACGTTTATTTCAATCTGCCCCTCCTCCTGGTGTCTCTGTGCCTCTGTGTCGCAGCTGTGACCTCTGTGTTAAACGCCGTCTGCTTAACTTGTCCACTACGTCATTTTTTGAAATTACGATCATAAGAAAAATATTTCCTCCTAATGTGTCTCTTTTTGTCTTTTTAATGTTGTTTAATTATTCTCTCAAGGTCTTTTCACAGCATTTGTAATAGGTTCTGCGTTATGGGAAGATACAACACTATTGTCTAGAAATATCCAGGACTGAGAATGTTTTTGGTGTGTTTGTGTTGATCCATCTTATGTGAAAAAGAAAGTACACTTTTGCATACTTTTAAAGAGTACTTATTACGGAAATTCAAAGAACATACTTCAGTGTGAAATGAATGTAATGTTTTCGCACACTTAATTGCATGTTAATTCCAATAAAATTTTAAATATTATAGTTTAAATTTATATTAAATGCACAGTATAACTTAAGCACATGTGACAAGCATTTATTGTACACTAAAAATACTTTGTAATTTCTATTGAAACTTGTAGTCATGTATTTAAATATATTCATAAATGCACATTATGATGAAGTTACAATTTAGTACTTTTAAAATATATTAAGTTTGAATGTGATATTTAATACTGAACACACTACAGTTAAAATGATACTCAAGTACTTTACATGTGCTTTAGTATGCAAGTCACCACATCAAAATAAGTGTACTTTATAGCATGACAAAAGATTATTTAAATTTACTTTAAAACTTGTAATTTGACATGATTACAAAGTGCATTTTTTAAAAGTGTACTTAAGTGTGTTAAGAAACATACTCACATTACACTTAAGTACATTTAAGTTACTTTTTTCATTATCTTATATTATTTGCAAGTACAGTATTTAAAAAAATATAATTTGGACTAAAAGTGAACATTCTCTACAATTAAGTGCACTTCTTTTTCACACGGGAGAGCTTGTGTTTCAGTAAATGTGTGATGAGATAATTAGACAAATGGTTTTTGCTTTTGCCATTTAGGTATGGTCTGTGATTTTTGCCAGCGTTTCAGATCAAATGTCACTTTTTATATGATTTGTACTCTACAAAATAGAGTTTTAGTAAAATATTCAGTTAAATGTAATTTCTCATGGCCATGAAATAGCATTGTAATACCATGGTACTATGATATATACTGTATATCATTGCAGGCCTACAGATTGATAACCTTACAATACATTGGTACTTACATGGTACTTCAAAGAATACTGTAGTGCTACAATGGTAGATGTTAAACAAAACATGGTATTATAATGGCACCATGTGCAAAGGTAGTACATTTTGATATTTTTTTGTTGCCGAATACAAGCATGGTTGAAAAGTGTTGCATATTAGCCACAGTATCATGGTAGTGTTAGTGTGTGATTATTTTGTTTAATACGGTTAATATGGCTTATGGACATTTATGAGGCAGGATAACAGTAGTTATGTTGTGTTTATCCTCACATGAGAGGATTCATTCTTGTGTGTTTGGGGAGCTGTTACAGTAATTGACTTCATCGGGTTCTGCAGTGAATTCTGGGTACTTGAGCACGGTCTGTGAGTGTGTGAGAGATGCAGACAGAGACGAGGGGCAGACAGACAGCGGCTGAGGCTCAGGTGTCTCATGACAATGGAATGTCAGAAAGCATCTCAGTCATGCATATATATACATGACACAGCCATCTCTCTGTGGAATTAACAGCCAGACATTTAACAGAGAAGTGAAAAAATTGATTCATCTTGTGAAGACGATTGTTGCGTCTTGATGTTTGGTTCTTTTCTCTCCTAACTATCATGTGAAAGCCTATGTTTATTTCAATAGAAACATTTGATGGACGATTCTATATTAATTGTTATAAACCAGCTAATAATTGTTCCTCAAAATGTAGAATTTTTTGTTAAATTTGACAAAATATATTCAGAGCTTGTTTTTTTGTTTTTGTTTTTTAGCATTACACATGGGTAATTTTGAGGTGTTTCTGTGTTAACTAAGAGTGTAAATATTTGCTCTGATAGTGATTTAATTTGAATGCATTTCTTTGATAAATGTGATGCATCATGTTATTTGAAATTCAATTAGATTATTTTGGTACAATTCATAATTAATTATGCAGGATATTTATGAAGGAATAATTTACACTGCAATGGAAAATTGCCGAAAACAACCATGCAATCAGCATTTACCATTTTACACAGACACAGTAAATTAATTTTGGACAAAAAATTGCCCACATGATACATAGAGAACTGTAATTATTAATTAATTCTGTAATGAAAAAATAGAATTTTAACTTTAATACATTCTTTGGCATTTGGCCCAAATTTTTTATAGATTTTTTACTTAAATCTCCATAAATTTGATGACTTATAATTTATTTATATTTTTACTTTTTTCATAATAAAATATAAAATTTTTATTAAAAATTAACACTTCGTAGAATGGTGCTCATGTTATACTGTGAGATTGTTTAACATGTATTAACTTGTTCATTGCATCTTTTGTCCCAGTGTTTTATGTAAATCTATTTAAACTGTAATCCAAAAACCTTCTGTAAAGCATATAGCATATGATCAGATGGACTCTTTCAGAAGAAAGCTCATGAATGGTTGATGAGATGGGTAGCTGGGTAGCGGCTTGTTGCTAGGCAGCATGAGTCCAGCTGCTTCAATCAGAGTCAAGGAGTCTTTGATGCTCTGGGTCAGGTGTCTCTACTGAGCATGCTTAGTACCATCTCAACCAACCCCATGGGCATACAGCCTTACATTGACTGACAGACTGTTGTGTGAAACTGTCCCCACCATCCTTTCACAATGACCTTTCCCTGCTTTTTTTTATCTCATCCTCGCCATCTCTCTCTCTCTCTCTCTCTTTCTCTCTCTGTCCCATCTTCTCCTGACACTATCTCTGTCTAAAGGCGTTCCAGTCAACAGTCGAGTGTCCTCTAAGATTCAGCAGCTCCTAAACACTTTGAAAAGGCCAAAGAGACCCCCTTTACGAGAGTTTTTTGTTGATGACTTCGAGGAACTTTTGGATGGTAAGGTTCATACATCTAGAAATATCTAATTCAGTCATGAAACTTTAGATGGCGCAAGCTTGTAGGCCTTGTACATGCAATCTGCTATCATTCACATAATTTACTAAATGCTGATTAGTCTCTGTTCAACTAATGAGCTTGCTTGCTCAACATTTAAATAGTCTGGTTTAGTGTTCGCTGTAAGCTGGTCCTGCCGTGCGTTCCTCTGAAACCCTCTACCTCCCCCAGCTCCATATACCTCAATGCAACATGATTGTGACGTACACAGTAGTTTATTGTATTGATATTTTATCCGTTTGTGTAATTTTATTTTCTCCAAGAGCCCAAGCATACCAATAGGCATATAGAATGGTGCATCAAACTAATTCATAAAGAAAAAATGTAAATGTCTTAGCACCACAGCAGATTTCAAGTGATCAAGAGCTTAGGACGTTTCAGTTCAACCCATTGCAATGGTTTTGCCAGTAGTGGGCACTCATGCAACATAAGCAATGATGTGCATTCAAGTCAACAAGACGGAAGCAAGTTAACAAGTGAAGGGCATAAATAGGTGAAGTGGAATGCAACCTAGGGATTATGGGATTTTATGATGCCTATTCATGCAGCAGCAGCATATCTTACATGCTCACAGCAGTGCGTCTGTGTATCTAATGGCAGTAGCAAGTCTCCATATTTGCTCTGTAGCAGCGTAGCAGATCTAGTGAACAAGACAGATTACATTAACATAGTCATATCGATTAACATGCTGAAATTATTACGAGAATTGTCATGACTTAATTATCTTTATTTGTCAAATCTTCAGTGATATTACTAGAGAAATTTTGCAACATATGCAATGATGTGCATTCAAGTCAAAAAGACGGAAGCAAGTTAACAAGTGAAGGGCATAAATAGGTGAAGTGGAATGCAACCTAGGGATTATGGGATTTTATGATGCCTATTCATGCAGCAGCAGCATATCTTACATGCTCACAGCAGTGCGTCTGTGTATCTAATGGCAGTAGCAAGTCTCCATATTTGCTCTGTAGCAGCGTAGCAGATCTAGTGAACAAGACAGATCACATTAACAGTCATATCGATTAACATGCTGAAATTATTACGAGAATTGTCATGACTTAATTATCTTTATTTGTCAAATCTTCAGTGATATTACTAGAGAAATTGAAATTATGTGGCTTTTTGAAGAGAGAATGCTGAAGACAAAGTATTGTCGAGACTTGAAATTGAGCTCTTTTGACTTGGGTCAGTAATGAAACCACCTAGGAGCCACCTTAAACAAATAAACAGAGAATGTTTTAGTATTCTGGAGGGACTTTAGAACTCAAGTCATATCTTACGGTCAAGCCCTCCATTGCCATATATATTTACTTTCATCTCACAAAAGGGTTCTATGAAAATATGAACGTGAATTGGCATTTACACTTAGATTGAATAGGTGTCTCTGATATCCTTACTCATAACCTTTTGCCATTTACTCAAAAACTGCTTTTAAGAAGAAGCTACTTACCCAGAGACAGGAAAATAACACAAAACAACATATTTGAATAATACAGCCATGTTAAGGATATGGGTTATGTCTGCCTGATGTGTGGTCTGTCACTGTGAGGGGTTGAATTCATCTGGAAATGCTTTGTGGTTTTCTTGTTTAGCACTAACAGTGACTGTTTTATTATCTGGCAGGTTTAGTCAAACTGTCTTGATTCTTCTCCATACTTATGTATATAAATCAGCATATTAGGATTTCTGAAAGATCATGTGACTCTGAATACTGGAGTAAGGATTCTGAAAATTCAGCTTTGCATCACATTAATACATTTCAAAATATATTAAAATAAAAAAACAGTCATTGAATCATAATAATATTTTCACAATATTACAGTTTTTACTGTCATTTTGATCGGTTGCAGCCTTGGTGAGCAGAAGAGACTTCTATCAAAAACTTAAAAAATAAAATAAAATCTTGCTGACCCCAATCTTTGAATGGTAGCACATAAAAAAACCCTTTTGTTCAAGGTTCTTTATTTGTCACATACATATTTCATACATAATGAGAAAGTGGAACTGTTTACTGAGAGTGTAGAGTGACCTGCTCCTGTTTCTCTGATTTATTCAGCCTTCTCTTGTGTTCCTGCATTATGGCGATAAACTGTTATTGTATTATTGTTATTATTATATAAACAGTCTAGTACAGTGATCCACAAATTTGAGGGTTATTGAAGTTATTAAAATGTTTGAGAAATCCTCTGAATTAATCTCTTCTTCCCTTTTTCTCTCTCTTTGTGCAGTCAATCCTTTCTTGCACTTCTTAAAAATATGCTGAGAAATACTCTTTCATATTGTCTTAGCAGCAGCGTCTTCACTTTATATTCTGTCTCTCTTTCTGTTTTTCTTTCTCTTTCTGTTCCAGACACACAAAATCAATCAAATCTATTTAAAGCTGTCTCACATCTCATCCTCAGCACCCATAAGTCACCCTGAGATACTTAGTGACATTTAAAATCACTCTCACATAAACTCCAAAAAACTAGTGAGCTGCTTACAGTGTAAGGCAGCATCGGTCATGGAACCTTATAAATGACTGACTTTGAATGCTCTATGTAGGCAGAAGACTCAACCTGCTAGTGATTTCAGTAAGCCAATAAGCACACAATACAATAATATATTACATATAGGTGAAAATGATTGATTTTTAATTACACTGACTAAATGTCTCAGTAAGTAAACGGTAAGTAAACGTTTATGTATAATCTGCATTCTTCTAGCTTTGTATTGGTGAATATAAGCTTTGTTGTATGCAATACTTTAATATTTTATTAAAGAAAAAAAAAGTCACAGCAGCAGATCTATATTTTTGTCTCTGACATGATTTCCTGTCTGCTACAGTGCAGCATCCAGATCCAAACCAGCCCAAGCCTGAGGGGGGTGAGATGAGACCCCTCAGTGGGGAGCCGCTGGGGGTGGTCACTAACTGGCCTCCATCATTAATGGCCTCTTTACAGCGCTGGGGCACCACACAACCCAAGAGCCCTTGCCTCACCGCACTGGACAACGCTGGCAAACCCGTCTACACACTAACATATGGTACGGATGTGGAACTTCCTATTGATTTAAATGCAACAGTTTACATGAGAGTGTATATATATATATATATATACTGTATATAGGGCATGTTTTATTTGCTTATATTGCAAATGTACTCACTTGAAATAGTGAATGAACTCTGTCTCTCAGTGAACAGACAGTGCAGGTTTGAATGTTTGTTTTTGTAAATACGTTTCCATAGGGAAGTTATGGACACGGAGTCAAAAACTTTCCTATACACTGCTGAACAAACTGAGCACCAGGAATGAACCACTACTGCGGCCTGGAGACAGAGTGAGTGTCCTAATCATGCACATTCACCCTCATTTACACCTGGCAGTAGCAAGTCTCCATATTTGCTCTGTAGCAGCGTAGCAGATCTAGTGAACAAGACAGATTACATTAACATAGTCATATCGATTAACATGCTGAAATTATTACGAGAATTGTCATGACTTAATTATCTTTATTTGTCAAATCTTCAGTGATATTACTAGAGAAATTGAAATTATGTGGCTTTTTGAAGAGAGAATGCTGAAGACAAAGTATTGTCGAGACTTGAAATTGAGCTCTTTTGACTTGGGTCAGTAATGAAACCACCTAGGAGCCACCTTAAACAAATAAACAGAGAATGTTTTAGTATTCTGGAGGGACTTTAGAACTCAAGTCATATCTTACGGTCAAGCCCTCCATTGCCATATATATTTACTTTCATCTCACAAAAGGGTTCTATGAAAATATGAACGTGAATTGGCATTTACACTTAGATTGAATAGGTGTCTCTGATATCCTTACTCATAACCTTTTGCCATTTACTCAAAAACTGCTTTTAAGAAGAAGCTACTTACCCAGAGACAGGAAAATAACACAAAACAACATATTTGAATAATACAGCCATGTTAAGGATATGGGTTATGTCTGCCTGATGTGTGGTCTGTCACTGTGAGGGGTTGAATTCATCTGGAAATGCTTTGTGGTTTTCTTGTTTAGCACTAACAGTGACTGTTTTATTATCTGGCAGGTTTAGTCAAACTGTCTTGATTCTTCTCCATACTTATGTATATAAATCAGCATATTAGGATTTCTGAAAGATCATGTGACTCTGAATACTGGAGTAAGGATTCTGAAAATTCAGCTTTGCATCACATTAATACATTTCAAAATATATTAAAATAAAAAAACAGTCATTGAATCATAATAATATTTTCACAATATTACAGTTTTTACTGTCATTTTGATCGGTTGCAGCCTTGGTGAGCAGAAGAGACTTCTATCAAAAACTTAAAAAATAAAATAAAATCTTGCTGACCCCAATCTTTGAATGGTAGCACATAAAAAAACCCTTTTGTTCAAGGTTCTTTATTTGTCACATACATATTTCATACATAATGAGAAAGTGGAACTGTTTACTGAGAGTGTAGAGTGACCTGCTCCTGTTTCTCTGATTTATTCAGCCTTCTCTTGTGTTCCTGCATTATGGCGATAAACTGTTATTGTATTATTGTTATTATTATATAAACAGTCTAGTACAGTGATCCACAAATTTGAGGGTTATTGAAGTTATTAAAATGTTTGAGAAATCCTCTGAATTAATCTCTTCTTCCCTTTTTCTCTCTCTTTGTGCAGTCAATCCTTTCTTGCACTTCTTAAAAATATGCTGAGAAATACTCTTTCATATTGTCTTAGCAGCAGCGTCTTCACTTTATATTCTGTCTCTCTTTCTGTTTTTCTTTCTCTTTCTGTTCCAGACACACAAAATCAATCAAATCTATTTAAAGCTGTCTCACATCTCATCCTCAGCACCCATAAGTCACCCTGAGATACTTAGTGACATTTAAAATCACTCTCACATAAACTCCAAAAAACTAGTGAGCTGCTTACAGTGTAAGGCAGCATCGGTCATGGAACCTTATAAATGACTGACTTTGAATGCTCTATGTAGGCAGAAGACTCAACCTGCTAGTGATTTCAGTAAGCCAATAAGCACACAATACAATAATATATTACATATAGGTGAAAATGATTGATTTTTAATTACACTGACTAAATGTCTCAGTAAGTAAACGGTAAGTAAACGTTTATGTATAATCTGCATTCTTCTAGCTTTGTATTGGTGAATATAAGCTTTGTTGTATGCAATACTTTAATATTTTATTAAAGAAAAAAAAAGTCACAGCAGCAGATCTATATTTTTGTCTCTGACATGATTTCCTGTCTGCTACAGTGCAGCATCCAGATCCAAACCAGCCCAAGCCTGAGGGGGGTGAGATGAGACCCCTCAGTGGGGAGCCGCTGGGGGTGGTCACTAACTGGCCTCCATCATTAATGGCCTCTTTACAGCGCTGGGGCACCACACAACCCAAGAGCCCTTGCCTCACCGCACTGGACAACGCTGGCAAACCCGTCTACACACTAACATATGGTACGGATGTGGAACTTCCTATTGATTTAAATGCAACAGTTTACATGAGAGTGTATATATATATATATATATACTGTATATAGGGCATGTTTTATTTGCTTATATTGCAAATGTACTCACTTGAAATAGTGAATGAACTCTGTCTCTCAGTGAACAGACAGTGCAGGTTTGAATGTTTGTTTTTGTAAATACGTTTCCATAGGGGACACGGAGACACGGAGTCAAAAACTTTCCTATACACTGCTGAACAAACTGAGCACCAGGAATGAACCACTACTGCGGCAGAGTGAGTGAGTGAGTGTCCTAATCATGCACATTCACCCTCATTTACACCTTGCATTAAAGGGTTAGTTCACCCAAAAATGAAAATTAGGCTGCGTTTTACTCACCACCGATGCATCCTAGGTGTATATGACTTTCTTCTTTCAGACGAATCCAGTCGGAGTTATAAAAAAAATTGTCTTTGATCTTTCAAGCTGCTTCATGGCACTCAGCGGGTGTTGCATGCATCAGTCCAAAAGAAGTTAAATAAAAAGCGCCTATCCATAAAAACAAAAGTGTCTCACACGGCTCCGGGGGGCGCACAAAGG